ACCCCCCCCCCCCCCCCCCCCCCCCCCCGTCAGCAGTTCTGTGCGTGTTTTCTATCAACCTCGTGACCTTTCACTGTGAGCTCGGAGGCCTCAGGTCATCACGATGACAAAGCACTTTGCTTCGTCAGCTTCTGCTCACGTTCAACAGTGTACGTTCAGATCATCAACGCTGTTTGTTACGCAATCATTAATCATTCCAGATGTGCAGTAAAACTGCTGTAGAGACTGTTTTATAGTGAGTAGTGGGAAGTAATCTAGAGGCACTACTTCATCTCAGAGGTAACTATTGTACTTTTGACAATGAATTACGATAACAAGTATCTTTAAAAGAAAGAAGTAAATAAACACTGAACACACACTAAAATACTTCTCCACGTGTTCACACACGTCTGACTCAATAAACTGGTTCTAAATCTTCTCCCCCAGTTTGAACTAAACAGATTCTTGTTTGCAGACGATGTGACTGAGTTGTTTTTTTGATGCAAACTTAATTTGTAGGTCCGGCTGCAGCAGCTTTAACTGAAGGAATGCCTGTGAGTGCAGCTCGAAGGCTGTAATCTAGTGATTGCATAACGGGTGTGTTGTGTTTCTCTGCACGGCCTTTTGGTGGAACGAATGCACGTTAAAAGCATCAATAAAAGCCACTTTTATTATATACAAACAGAGGATTAATTCAAGCTTTTATCAATGAAAAACAGTGTTTAGGATTATTGTATTACATCTGCAAAAATGTGTTTTTTTTTAAACAATAACTCACTCATCAAAGGTGTAGTGTGAGCATTCTGAGACATCAACAGAGGCAGGTGTAACTTGTCGAACTTGTTTCCTCCACTTGAACACCTGGAGCCCATCAGAGGAGCTGCTGTAGATGTGCGTGCGTGCGTGCGTGTGTGTGTGTGTGTGTCCGTGTGTGCGTAAGAGAGCTCTGAGGGGCCAACACACACCCCCTAGAGTTGGGAGTCAGGCCATGGGTGGGAGGGTCTGTGGGCCGGATCACACCGAGGTCAGCTGAGCCAATCAGCTGCCGGCTGAGGGTTTGCTGTTCAACGGCAGATGTGTGACATCCGGGTTTTTAAGGTGGAGCTGCTTATTAATGTGTGAAACACAGATGATTATTAATAAACTAATAAAGGAAAACTTCACCTTTTATTTACCTAGAAACTTCAACTTTATGTTCCCTCACCAGCAATACTGTTATTTATCTACTATATATTATTTTTGTATTTATTTCTAATTTATCTTTTTTAAAGAATAATTTCTGCTGTTTTTTTTTTTCTTGCATTTGTGTTTTTATTTATATTTTGTTGTTATATTGCATGTTTTTGTCTGAAATGTGCATTATAATTAAAGTTTTATTATCATTTTTTTTAGTTGTGAAAAAAACAGCAGGAATACTTTAACAAGATAAGCGTGATTAATATGACCTGTTTAAAACCAAACTTTTAATACTTTCCATACTTACAAATCATGCTTTACACTTTGTGAAACTACGAAGTATTTGAGTGTAAAAGTACAACATTATTTTGTTCAGTAGGGTCAACAAAGCGTTGCAAAAAGATCATGAATTCGGTTTATTACAATACTTTTGCACATACAAGGAATTTGCAATTATAAAAGACATCATTTAAGAATAGAAAATATAGTGGTGAAGTAGTAGAAAAACTACATTTCAACAATCAGTCATTGTTAATACTGGCAGTCTGAACGCTTCTTTCTCCCTGAAATGCACAAAATAAGAAACCTTTTAACGTCTTATTGTCTCGTCAGAATGAGTCTCGTCTTAACGGCGTGTTTGTCACCGTTGTTTCAGGCGGGCTCGCGGGAGGCATCGAGATCTGCATCACCTTCCCCACAGAATACGTGAAAACACAGCTGCAGCTGGACGAGAAGGCCAATCCTCCCAAATACAAAGGCATCGGTGGGTTCAGCTTCTGTTTCCTTTAAGTTCTCTGCTGTCATTAAATGTGATGCTGACGGAACCACGTGCGACCACTTTGATGAACCTCAATGGTCAATGCATGGTTCGATTATTACCTATTGTTACGCTATTATCTCTGTAAAGGTAGAGTTAATGCCTGAGAGCTGCTGCATTACATTCATAAAGTGGCCACTGGCTCTATATATTGTCTGTACACGTTACATAGAGGTAAAGGTAACTGGTCCAGGAATGTTTGACCAGCAGTCGCTCTGAAACCCTCCATGACTGAGAGAGTTTAATGAACAATAAAACATTTGATTCCCTCTGATATGTAGTCAGAACACATGGAAAAGACACAGCTAAATATTAGATAATAATAATAATGATATTACTGCACGGTGGTGTAGTGGCTAGCACCGTCCCCTCACAGCAAGAGGTTCGATCCCGGGCGGTCCTTCTGTGTGGAGTTTGCACGTTCTCCCCGTGGCAGCGTGGGTCCCCTCCGGGTTCCCTCTGGGTTCCTCCCACAGTCCAAAGACATGCAGCTTAAGTTATTTTGAGATGTGAATGTTTGTCTGTCGCTATATGTGCCCTGCGATAAACTTCGCCCAATGTTAGCTGTGTAGCGCCCCGCGACGCTGAATAGGATAATGGAATAATACAATTATCATCCAAAATCATTATTCTTGCTCTGTTTTTACTGTTCGATTCCTTTTTAATCCCCTTTCATTTTGCATTACCTGCATTAATATTCATTTAGACAATAACGTATCTATGTGTCTGAATCGTGAATAACAGCAGCTCACTCATAGCCGTCTCAACCTTCTCACTTTATTCTGAAGATCCAGACCTCTGACCTTCTGCCCTTGAGGTAACAGTCCACAGAGGCGGCGTGTTGTTGCACAGATGTGTGTTTGCGTAGTAACTTACCGTTTGTTATCTGTTCACTGAGCCGCTCGTGAACTTTGTCTTTAGAAACTCGGTATGAAGGTTCGTTGTTGTTGAGGCTGCAGCGGACACACGAGGAGCCCAGAACATGGAGACTTTCATCATCATCGTTTAGAAAAGAGTTCATTCGACTCTGGAACAAGTGGGTCAGATATGAAACGAATGAATGACCCTGTAATGCGTTAGCTGAGGGAACCTCATCGACCCCTATTTCCCCCCCCCC